ATTTGATTTGCATCTCCCTGATGATCAGTGATGTTGAGCACCTTTTCATGTACCCTGTTGGCCATTACTATGTCTTCTTTGGAAAAAAGTTTATTCTGATCCTCTTCGCATTTTTTCATCAGATTTTTTTTTTTGCTAGTGATTTGCATGAGTTCTTTATGTATTTTGGATATTAACCTCCCATCTGATATATGATTTGCAAATATTTACTCTCATTCCATTGGTTGCCTTTTAATTGTCAGTTGTTTCCTTTGCTGTGCAAAAGCTTTTATATTTGATTTAGTCCCACATGTTGTTTTGTTGTTGTTGTTGTTGTTGTTGTTGTTACCTTTGCTTTTGGTGTCAAATCCAAAAAATCATTGCCAAGACTGATGTCAAGGAGCTTACCTCATATATTTTATTCTAGGAGTTTTATGGATTCAGGTCTTACAATTCAAATCTTTAATCCATTTTGAGTTGAATAATGTGTTTGTTGTAAAATAGAGATCTAGTTTCATTCTTTTGCGCACAGCTATCAAGTTTTTCCAACATCATTTAGTGAAGAGATTGTCCTTTCCCCCATTGTATATACTTGGCTCCTGTATCATAAATTAATTGACCATATATGTGTGGGTTTATTTCTGGGCTTTCTATTCTGTTCCATGATCTATGTATCTGTTTATGTCAATACCATACTGTTTTGATTATTACAGGTTCATAATATAGTTTGAAATCAGGAAGTGTAATGCCTCCAGCTTTGTTGTTCCTTCTTGGGATCGCTTTGGCTCTTTGGGGTCTTCTGTGGTTCCGTATAAATATTAGGATTGTTTTTTTCTTCTTCTGTGAAAAATGCCATTGGAATTTCAAGAGAGATTATAGTGATTCCATAGATCAGTTTGGGCAGAATGGACACTTTAACAATATTAATTTTTTAATCCATGAGCACAGGTTATATTTCCATTTATTTGTGTCATCTTCAACTTCTTTCATCGCTATCTTATAGTTTTCAGGATACAGATCTTTCACATCCTTGGTTAAATTTATTTCTAAGCATTTTATTCTTTTTATGCTATTACAAATGGAACAGTTTTCTTAATTTCTTCTGCTATTTTCTCAATTTACAGTTGGAGTCAATATGGTAGCATTTACTTGATCTACTATAATTATCAGTTAAATTAAGCTATTAATGCCCATACTTATTGCCTTGCTCATTAAATTTCCAAATCAAGGCCATAACCTTGTGAAGTTTGCCAGTCGAGATGCTTCCTGATCTTCGGGGAGGTTCTCAAAGACTCCCCAATGTACTCTACTGTTTCTATAGGGAGAACTAACTCTTTTTGGAATGCATTTTGAATTCATGACTTTTAAGTACATAGTATATCTTATCTCTACGATCTAGTAACATCTCTAAACCACATTATTTTCTAAAGTTCGCTCTACTTTTATCCGACAGCCCTGAATTTGTTTAACATACAATAATATTCTTACATGGATCTTAGCTGAAGAGTTCTTGGAGGGCTTACTAAGCAGGTTTACTTTAGTCCTATTTGAAACCCCAGGAAGAAGCTGACATCTTGGGAATCAAAGCCTGATAGCCAGTAGGTAAACTCACTACCTCACTGTGATGTTAATTTTAGGTGTCAACTTGGAGAATGTTTTTTGATGAGATTAATATTTAAATTGGTGAACTTTGAATAGAACAGACTGCCCTCCATAATGTGGGTGGGCGTCATCCAATCAGTTATAGGCCTTAACAGAACAGAAAGACAGGCCTCTCTGCAGAAGGGGGAACTCTCCAGCAGAGTGACTTAGGTCCTGATCTGCACTGTTGGCTCTCCTGGGCCTCAAGCCTGCTGGACTTTGGAATGGAACTGAACCAGGGCTTTCCTGGGTCTCGAGCTTCGCTAGCCTCCAAATCACACAAGCCAATTCGTTATACTGAATCTCTTTTTATGTATGCACACATCCTACTGGTTTAGTTTCTCTGGAGATCCCTAACACACCCATGAGTGTCTTGTCCAACCTGTACATCCACATGAGAGTGCCCTGTACCAAGTAAATACATTTTTCAAAGGTAAAGAAGTTTGGTCAGGACATGGAGCAAGTGACCTTGAGACTTTGCTGACTAATTCACCTTTTTGTCCCATTTTAAATAGTTAACCTAAAACTAGAATTTATAATCTCCCACTCTAATTAATACAGTATTTATATATCACAATAAATTTACATCATAAAAATTCAAAAGGTCTATTAGCTATTGACCCTTAATGACCTTTTTTTTTAAAATTTCTCAGACGAAGTCAGTTATGGATCATTGTGACGATCAACCAACAAACAAATGAACTGAGCTTCCAGACATATCTGTTCTCAAAGTGCTTATAATCACATTAAAGTTTAAATAATACCAGAGAATTTCAAGCCTTAAATGAATTTAATGACTTGCCATCAAAAGGTACAAAGAAGGGCAGAGACCCTGGAAGTCAATTTTTTTTAATTAAAAGTTTAATATGATGCTTTTTTTTTTTTGCTTTTTTTTACGCCTACAGCACATGGTCTTCCTAGGTGATTTCCTAGCCAAGTACTAACCAGGCCCAACCCTGCTTAGTTTCCGAGATCAGATGGGATCGGGCTTGTTCAGGGTGGCATGGCTGTAGACTCAATATGATGCTTTTAACAACCCAAAATGGCACTGCAAATGCAGCAAGAGCAGAAAAAGACACAGTTGTAAGAAGACATATTAAAAGGAAAAAAAAATCAAAAAGAAAACATCTGAAAAAACACTATGCTTTTTGAATTTACTTGGAAAATTCATCAGAAAAAATTTCCATTTGTAACTGGAAATCAGACATTATGCATATGCATATAACTTCTTTTGTCAAGGTGAATGAATTGTCATTTGTTTTGGCAGGCTCTCATGAACACACAGGGCTTTGTGGGTAAGGAGTGGATGAGAATAGAACTTGCAATTCTCAATGGAATACTACATTTAAAGCCAATGATGCTGCTTCCCCTTAGTGATTGAAAAGTTCAATCATCAATTTCCTCACCAGGACTAACTAAATATTTTGAAAGAATATGCCTATCTTTACTGCTTATATAGTCATTTGCCATCTCAGATTGTCTTAAGCACCAACAGATGCAGTTTATGTGCAAAGTCATTCTGTTTTCCAAAAAGTTCTATGATATTCAGATTCTAACAACAAAGGAGTGATTCTTTACCCAGGGACCACATTGCAAAATACTTCTCCCATCTAGCATTTGACTTATAAATATTTTTTGGTATGGTTATTGCTATACAAAACTATACAAACACACAGACACACACAAATCTATCAACCTATTATCTAATGATATTATGGCTTTGACAACATTCACTATCGAGAGTTAAAGAGATTTTCACATATTTTCTCTTAATACTTTTTAGTATTTTTTTTTTAGGTTAAATTTCATAATCAGCTGGAATTTATTTTAGCGTATGGTAAGAAGAAGAAATGTAACTTTTTAAAGTGAGTGGAGAATGTTTTAGACATTAAGAAAACCATCCTTTACCACTATTTTGACATTCCACCGTTAACATACATGCACATACACAGACATACCAGGTCTGTTTCTATCATCGTTAATGTGTTTAAATGATCTATTTATCTATTCCTGTAACGATATTATGCTATTTTAAGTATTTTGGCTTTATAGTACTTTTGTCATCATAATTTTCTTTTAAAATAGTATAAATCATTTATGTGCCCTCTTTATTGTTTGAAATCAATTTGTCCAATTTCCTCTCAGCTTTCAACCCACCCCACCATACACAATGCACAAATACCACTGTGATTTTGATTCGCTGTCACTGACCTATTGATTTTAGAAATAAAAAATTAAGGCTATGAATTTTCCACAACCTACACTTATGAATGTGTAATATTCTCAAGGTTGTTTACTGATTTTCCTCTGAAGTCTGATTTGTCATCCATCTTTGTGTAATTATAGAATATTTGAAAATAACATTTTGTTTCTTTCCTTATTAGGTTCAAAGCTGTTTGTTTAAAATTATGCAAAGAAATATTAAATCCGTTAATTATGTTATTCAGATTCTTCATATTCTTACCTTTTTGTCTACCTAAAATGATAATTTTTTGAAAAATATGTATTGGTTTCACCTATAAGGATATGTTTTTAAGTTTTCTTTTTACTTATAAGAGCTTGGGAATGATATGTTTTATGCTATGTTGTTTGACATGTAAAAGGTCTTAACTGTTAAGAATTTCTACTGGATGATACTATGTGTCAATATAAACACCCTCTCTTTTTTCCCCATGCAGTATATCTACACTGAAGTGATAGTTTCAGAGACTGATATGGCAATTCTTATATCATTATGTTAGTATTGCCTGCTAGAACTCAATTTGCTCCTTCATTTCCAGTCTATATTAAGATTTGTCTTCTAAATAGGATATAACTAGGGTTGTATTTTAATCTAAGCTGTGAATACTTACTTTTATTAAGAGAAGTTACCTCTTATGCTATAATAACTTACATGAAATAAAACACTTAGAAGTTATTCAAACAACTAATATATTTAGACTAATTACTGGCATTTTATTTTTCCTGCTTATGATACATTTTTATTGTGCTTTAGTTTTTCCTATTTTTTTCCTGTGCCTGAATCAAGTTTTGTTTGTTTGTTTGTTTTCAATTTTGTAGTTACTTACAGCATTTTACTATAGTCTCACCAACTTTTAGTCCCTCTTAGTATACAGGTAATAGAAAACTATTCGAATGTCTCTCTCTTTTTTATCCCTATCTGGCCAAAAATAATCACAAGATAATCTATATCTGGGATAGTAGCAGTAAGTCACCTTAAGACCACTTTGGAATTTAATAACATAAATTCCATAATAACATAACAGTATCTATTATGAGCTAGGAAAAGGGAGGACAAGTTTTCATATTTAATTAGTAAAAAGTTAGTTCCATTTATCTTTCCAACATCTCTGCATCCTTGCAAAAGACAAAGCTCTTACCGTTTCTTTTGGAATCTGCATCTGGCTTGGCTCTGCATTCTAGAAGAATTGAAGAAAAACATAAATACAGACTGACCAAAGCCATCTTCAACATACAGGGACACAAAGCTTTACTTTAAAGGAAATTTTGGTCGTTTTTAAAATCCACAAACTATATAGAGGGGAATTATATTCTGGCTGATGTATTACTCTGTCTTCCAAACTTTCACTGATGTGGTTATATTTTGTGTGGCTGTGTGTTTTAAGAAATTTTTCTAGATGTAAGTTTACTTGTTCATTCACGGTTCATCACGAAATTATTTGGAGGAAAACAAATCTCACCAAACTGCTTTTCTATTTGTAGCACTATTTCTGATTTTAAAAAAAACATTTATCAACTAAATCTAAGTTAGAAGGTATATTATAATTTGATAGCTTGACCAGATAATAACAGTCTGAACCACAACCATTATACCTTAAATTTTACACAGGTTTTTTTTTTTTTAAATGTAATTTTTTTTCATATATTATAGAGTTGTTTGAATTACATAAGGTTGATTTATAAAAAAGGCACATATTGATAAAAGTATTTTGTTTTAGACACAGAATTTAAACACAGACACCCAAAGGAAAAGAGTTTTGTTAATTGAATTCAAAGATCATTTTAAATGCCCCCTTTAAGTTTTCAGAATTTTAATCTTTTAAATCTTGAAAAGCAGCTGCAACGTGAATAACAGACTGATGGCCTACTGGCTCACTCCTTAATGAAAAGCTCACAAGCAATAAATTAAATAACCAAGAAAAAAAAAGTAGGCAGCAGAAGGGGAAAACAGAAGCCTGGAAGATCAAAATTGGACAAGAAGAACCTGAATAACCTTAAGCTGGCTATATGTTGGCAGTAACTCCAGAAAGGCTGCTTAAGAGCAGTACTGAGGCTCTGGCAATCTAATAATGCTATTACCCAGACTCAGGTCTACTGAGGAATAATTAAAGCTTCATCAAATCCTATCTAAAACTTAGTTGTTCTTGCTGTTTCTCAAGTGCAAATTTAGAATTTAACAGAGATATCTCCAGATTTAGGATCAGGTGGCATCTTAAGCACAAAATTACGTAACAGTGGGGGAAGAAAACTCATTTTAATTGATAAATAATGCATTAAACATTTTAAAATAGAAATAAAAATGTTTTTATACTTTTTTAAAATCTACTTAAAACACTAGTGTTCACTTTTCAACTTTATCAAAATCTGAAATTTACACAAAATCACAGTAAATTTTAGCTCTGTTTGTAATCAAGGGATAGGATATCCCTATAACTAAAATTTATCTGATTTATAATAAAAGGAACATTTTATTAACCATGACATCCATATTTGATGTATTAGCCTATGAGAGTTAGGGCTATAGGACAAATCTGGTAACTGTACCCCTAAAACCTTGCCACTCTAGTATATGTGAATCAATTATTTTTTAAATAAAGCTAGAAAATAGCTGAAAGAGGTCAAATATTGTAAAACGACCCAATTAGAATCTGTTTTTGAGAAAGTTAAAACACCACTTGCACTCAAGTAAAACAATTTTCTCACCACATTGAAAGATAACGGTGATTCTTCCAATTACGTTCTTTTTATATATATATAAAATGGCATTTTTTTGCAGGAAAATACTCAGAACTATGTCGATTTAATATATATATTTCCTTCAAACCAATACTATGTAAGTACCTTTATCTAATATTTAGATGTATTGATATATGTACAAAAAAGTAAAATAATTTGCAAATCAAATGCCTTTTCATTTCACCTATGTCATTCTAAGTAATGTCAATATTAGTAATTAATGGCCTGGGGCACTTACTGCCACTCAGGTCTTTTTATTTTCAATAATAATATTTAAGTAAGGTACTCCTTTTCATAAACAAGTAAGCATCTTTATTTGGCTTAGCTACATGTACTATGAAATTCTGAAACATGAAGATTTGTCATATGTAGTGGAGAAGGTGGCAAGCTTTCAACAACAGCCTTTGAAGTGACAGTTATGAATTAATCGACGTGTCTGTTATTCAATCAGTCCATCTGAAAGCATTCAGTAATAAACATTTGCTGTCCCAGAAAATATCCCTGCATTTTGATTTTTAAATACCCCTACATTCAACATTGTGGATACCTATTTCCAAAACTGAGGGAAAATGAGAAAAGAATGCATGTATTAAGTTAAGGCTGAAAGACATATAAAATACAGAAACTGCTTAGAAAACGTTTTGATAAACACTGGCCATCGGTAGCTAATCCGGATTCCTGCCTCATGTGCATCGGATATGTTTCATTTGCTTTAAATTTACACACCAGTTCCCTTGGGTGGAAGGCATCTTCTTGGCGAAAGACCAAAAGGCTCACAGTCCCTTCCATCTTGGTACTTCTCAACAGGGAAACAACTTCCTCTTGGGATTTGCCTGCTAAATCTACGCCATTTACCTAAAACAAATAAAATGTTTTCAGCTCCAATCCTATGCAAATGGCTAACAGAACAGACACACAATCTAGAACTGATCATGTCTGCTATGAAACATAATTCATTTCATGGTAAATTCTACATGATCTGGTAACCACCAGGTTGTTGTGGCTAATAAAGAAATGCAGACCAGGTATTTACAAGTGAGACAGGAAGTAGTAAATCTTTTAGTGCTCATCAATAAACCAAAAGCTACAGCCATCAGAACATTAACAAGTAACAAGTAATAAACAAATATATCTAAAATGTCAAGTTAACACAAAACTTCCTGGCTCCTAACTGATGTATCTTGATGGCCTTGTGTAGTATAGGGTTTCTTAAACCAAAATAAAAAGGCGTGGCTTTTAAAGCAGGTAGTAAAAACACACTAAAAAATATTTTTGTAAAAATATTCTAACTTTAAGTGAAATTTTACCAAAAATTATGAAGATAATCTTTTTATCCCTAAAAGGTAAATCTTAAAGAAGAATCTCGACAAACTAATCATAATATTTTTGGAGGAATAACAACATTTCACCTCAGTATTTTTCAAGGGTTTAAGAGAATTCTACCAGGAAAAAAAAAAAAAAAGAATTTGAAACAACCAGTTCCTGGGAAATCTCATCATTTTTATCTTTTAGGAAGTAAAATAACGTTATCAGAAAGCACTATATATTTAACAGAAATGAGTATGGAAGTTCCTTTTAAAAGTATTTCATATTATTTTTCTTTAGACAAAAATAACATTTTGTCCAAAGCAATTAAGTATATTACTTACATTGTAATATCAAAATCTTCCTGTAGTTAGAATATGTTTTAGAACCTATCTCCCCTCTGCTAAAAACCATTGTATATAGCTCAATGTTCTACTACTATTAAGGGATTGCAAAAAATAAATAAGTAATAATGAGGTCAAAGGAAGCAAAAAATTTCTAAGTAACAAAAAAAAGTAACTTGATTTTTTTTTTTTAATGTATGCTTACAGATATCTAGGTACTCAGAAAAGGTACCACGGAATTGTAGCTCCAACTAAAGATACTAGACAGTCAGATTTAAAACATGTAAAAATGTAGTTTCAGTTTTAAGAGAAAGCTGATAACTATAGAAAATAAAGGCTGACTCTGAAAAAATATAGGCTGCAGGCCTTTCTTATTGCTCAAAAAGAAAAATGAAAGTCTTTAAAAGTGTTAAAAGTAAAGCAACTATGTGATGAAACAGAGACGCAAAAATAAAGTGGTTACCTTCAGAAAGAAAGGTGGGAAGGGAGGATACAGGGAGAGAAGGAGGTCTGGGACAAAAGGGCGAGGCAAAGATTCAAGTCCCACCTGAGACTATTACCAAGTAAAACAAGCTACAACTACACACTTGGAATAATATTACAGTTGACCCTTGGAAAACAAGAGACTCATCCAGTCCCACTTATATACACAGACATTTTTTCAATCAATATGTGCAGTACTGAAAATGGATTTTCTCTCCCTTAACGATTTTCCTAAGGACATTTTCTTTTGTCTAGCTTACCTTATTGTAAGAATACAGTATATAACACACATAACATACAAAATATATGTTTGTTGACTATGTTATCAGTAAGGCTTCTGATCAACAGTAAATTATTAGTAGGTAAGTTTTGGAGGAGCCAAAAGTGTCTTTACTGCAAGACACCAGGGGTTAAGGGATATTGGTGTCAGTGCACCTAACTTCCACACTGCTCAAGGGTCAGTTGCTCAATTTCACCCCAAAGACCAGTGACCCTTTCTAGAAGCAACACCTTAAATATAATTTGTACTCAAATTTTCTTTTCAGTCAGCTTCCGTTTGTGGCCCTTTAAAAAATGGTGTCACATGAACAAGACAAAAAGGAAAGGAGTAAGATTTAAGGCATCTTGGCCCAAAATGTGTATGTGGAAAAAAATCCGGAAGTTATTCTTTTGCTCCATTACTTTTCAAGACATCTTTAAGAGAGCTCAATCTGGAGAGTTCAAAAGGTAATATAAAAATGTACATTAACAATAGAATTTGAATACTAGCTAGTAATTAGGAAATACTATCTGCTAAGAAGACAGACTGTTTTCTGAAGAAAACATTAAGAAAAATGGCTAATAAAGTATACGTTTTGTCAGTATTTCTCCCAATTCCATATGCACCAACATTCACACAAATAGAAATTCTGTACGTTTATGTATGTCAAAGACAGAGTCGAAGACCAATGAACTGAAACTCATGAGGTACAGAAATTTTGAAAAACTGTTTCTCTTTTCTAACATTTGATTTTTATGTCTCAGTTCATTTCCCATGCTGACATTTAAAAATTTCCTTGTTCCTCTCATCAAAACATATTGTTTTTACTTACTTCATTTGTCTTAGTTTTGATTACAAAGTAGGTAACATTTCTAGATTGCCAGACAAAAAGTTAAAGCCATCCAGAAATATAACCTAATAGACACTGCACTTACATAATGACAAAATTATGTTATGTCATAAACCAAATGTCTGAGAAACTAAAAATTTGAGTAAACTAAATAAAAAGATATTTCTCATCAGAGAACATGGAAAAATGTATAGAGTAAAGCAGAAATACATTGTTTTAAGATTCATACTGCTGCTAAAATATATGATTTAGTTTCATATTTTATAAAAATATTTAAAAGAATAACTTTCCAAGAACTATGAAACTTTTGACTTAGAGAAGTCGCTCACCTCTATAAGTCGATCTCCTGCCTTAAGTCGGCCATCCTGGATGGCAGCTCCTCTGGGAAGGATGTTTTTCACATAAATTGGAGCTGAGCCACCTATTGTTACATCTCTGGAAGTGATGCTGAATCCCAAACCTTCTGTACCTAAATATATAGCAGGGAGAAAAATAATAAAATGAGCTACCTTGAATTCTATGGGTGTATCATACACAAAAGACTTGTTGTTACTCTCTGCATCAATTTGACATTTTGTAACTTTCACATGGCCTACATTTCTTTTAATTCTCTAAAAGTTGTAATAGATTTTCAAAATAGACAATTCTTAAAGGTTTAAATGGTTCAAATATCAAAATTCATTAAATGGGAAACTACCCAAAGACAGATGAAAGGTAACATGCAAATATGCAAATATACAAATATTCTTGCTAAAGTTTTTAAATGCCTATGTCTTTGATTATGAAAATAAACAATTCTCTATGACAAAAACAAAAACACTTCTAACCCACAGTACATCAAACAGAAAGTATTATTGTGTAATAATGGTATCTAGATTTGACAGGTAGGCATTGGAGCAAGGGAAGAGAAATGTTCAGGGGGTAAAAAATAGAGAAATTTTTCTAGATAGAGATAACAGAATCTCCCCAAAATGTAATAAGTCACAGCAATTCACTGACAGGATGAACCATATTATTTTTGCCTAGTTCTCTTCTAATTCATCTAAATCTGACTATGTATATTTCTCAAAAAAAAAAAAAAGGCAAATTACCTAGAGAAGAACCCATCACAGATCACAGCTACCAAGTCTGAGAATCATCATATTTAAAGGTACTTAAATTAACGAGGCATTTATAAATGATTGTGCTGGTTTATATAATTTAAATTCTAAATTCTTTGGCAGCTTTCTTGACAGGCACTCTCATACACTCAATACAGTGCAGAAAAAAGGTCACTAGAACCAACATGTAATAAGCCAAAATGAACCAAGAAAATATGTGAAGATAATGAAAAATTTCTAATGAATCATGGAATTTTCTATAACTCTTCTAATAACTAGAGCTTTTAAAAAGTTACTTAAGATGTTAGGTTCCATTTCAGATAAAATGGTCTTAGGACAAATGCTTGATATTATGAGATAAATAAAGAGATATGTAAAGATAAAAAATCTATAAAAGACTACATTAATGCAGCACTCAGTACAAAATTATAGGCTCGAGTATAAAGCTTAGGAAACGAATATGGGCAAATAAACTTGAATTAAAAAGTAGGTTAAAGAAGAAACAAAGTAGAAATGAAGAAAACATTCAATAATTATACCTATAACAAAACCTATTATAAATAATCTCAAGTTCAAACAAAACATTCATTGCATGAAAGTCTAAAATCACTCTAATGTGCCTGGACTGTTCATTTCTTAAGTCTTCTGTGTGAAGACTTGAATGGCATATTGTCTATATAAAATTTTCCTAATTATTCTGCTGGGACTCTTCCATATGTCTGTGCTTTCATGAAACTCTAATGACTTGCAATAACATTTCTTAAGAATGAATTTTAATTATTCTCTTTTTGCAATATTAATTTGTATGAACTACAAAGACTGTTATATGAACTTTCATACTATTAAAATATCAGCAATAACCCCTAAATCTGTAAGCTAAAAGTTCAGGCAATGACCTTCAAAAGAAAGATAAATAGATATCAATTTTCATTTAGCAAAGCCAATCAAATATTTTGCACTGACTGAAACAGATTACTGACCTTCTTCTCTGACTTTATTAAGAAGCTAATTTCTGCAAAAAGAGCAGGGTATTGGAGAATGCTAAAATGGCAATAAATATTAAGAAATCATAATTACAGAAAGAAGTACATAGGAGCTACTGTGTTTTGTGATGTTATATGACATAGCTCCAAAATTATGTCTAAGAATTATTATAATGAAGGCTTCTCTTTTTAAGTACTTAGCCTTGACCTCAGTTTATAAGGAGCTTCTGTCAAAGCATGTCGGTTCACTTTGAACTCAATTTAAAGTTTAACATTGTCATACACTATGTTTTTGATGTACTTCATTAAAAATATTAAATGTAACATAATTAGTAAAACTATTATCTGTTAACTACAATGAAAGCTTGTTCAAGTCTCATTCAATCATTATTAAAATAGCTGTATTTAGTACTAATCAAAGACAATCAGCATTCTTTACTCTTATATATAGTAAACAATTATTTTTATTCAAAGTATTTGTAAATATTATCAGGAAAGCACAGACAGTTTCTGCCTTTTGTCAAACATTTTCACAGTCAATAAATTAAAATCAAGATAGATCTATGAGGCTCTATATCATTGAGATTACTCAAGATCAGAAAAAATGTTTAAAACAAATCATTGTTTCTCATTCTTACACTGATTGAGCACAGTCTTTCTCAATTAGCTTATGTGAAATGTAATCATAGCTTTTAAAATGCTATTAAAATAAAATTTATTTTGTTTTCAACAAATGATTCTTTTAATGGCAAATAAAATTTTACTTCATTTAAAGTTTATGTTGTATCACAAGTTGCTAAAATATAATAATTGTGCCAAAACTGTAATAAACTAAATAAATATGCCTGTATCATACAAAAGGGCAAAGATATTTGAGAACTAATATCTTTATAGCAATGGCCAAGTAAAATATTTTTCCTTTGTTGAGAGAGCCCATACTTTATACACTCTATTTGTGATTCTTGATATGTTTTTGTTGAAAATTAGGGTCTGAGTAGAGAAAAAGGAAGAAAAGAGATCTGATATTTCTGTCATTTAGGAATTAACAGAGCTAAAAGGGATTTATGCTGATATGACTCTGTATTTGTAAGGGGTTTCAAAAGCAGAGAAAAGTTGTCAATTCCTGATCATATCAACCAAGTATTTGGAGCTTAAAAGCAAAAAACCAAAAATAAATTTGTGGTTCACATAAAGTTCAATGAAAGAATATGATTCAGAAATGAAATAGGAATCTCAGAGTTTACAAGCTTTTACAAGCTTGTAAACTTAAATGAGAAGAAAATGGTCTAAATGTCAGGATATGGAAAATGTTCTTTCTAGTAAGAAGTTGCTGCCAATGGCAGCCATGTGACTTGAGGAAATCGCTCAACGTCTCTTGGATTCATTTCCATCTAACTATAGGAACTGGTTGAGCTCTTAAAGAAAAATATTCTTATCATAACACCATTTTGAAAGACACGATTTATAAATATATCAAAATGATCAGCTAAAATAGATGATTAATAGCAAAATGTATCTCAGTGCCTGGAGAAGACAGCAGCCAGAAATCAGAAAGTCAAGTAGAGTACCTGCTCTGAGTCCTGGGGGAGGCCAAAATGAAAGACTATGTTTCCTGTACACAAGGATCCATGGTATGAAAGAAGAGATACTTAAGAAAATAAGTTGATATAAAGTGTGTGTAATAAAGAATTAGCAAGGCCCGTTATAATCACTCTTGTCACCTTAAGAAAGAGAAACCATGGAATATTCTGGAACAATGGCCTAGCTGCTCCACATTCCACCGCTAGCCACAGACAGTATCAAAGGAATCAATCACTTCCCATCACCAAAATGATAGGTTGAAATGGATGATGTCTAAAGTCCTCTTTGAGGGCTGTATCTGAACATGAAGTAGGGCTATCAAAACAGTCAAATCCTCACTACTGTTTTGGATTTGAATGTAACATCCTGAAACCATTTTCCTTTGTTGTTAAACATTTTACTATAGTAGTAACTGCTATCTTCATCATATGAACTTATTTTTTAAAGCCTTATTCTCTGAATATTTTAATTTTTATATAGCAAAATGAATCTTAAAAGCATAAAAAATACATTTTAAGTACTTTTAAAAAAATACGTCATTACATCATTTATTTCACACAGTGGATGAAATGTAGGGTGCTTTGGGTTAGTTGGCTGACTATTAAAATAAATTGCATCAAATAAGAACAAGATAGGTCATACCTTTCTTAAGCTGGATATTAAGCCTCTTGCCTATTTTTTTGGTATTATAACCACTGCTTACATTTGTACTAAATGAATTTTGTGGGGCTGGTGCTGACGGCGGTTTTCCGGTGGGCTGTGTGCTCTGAGGTAGTCGTGGGTGAGCATCGATCTGCTCGGCCGGGTGGGGCAGTCTGGGCACTCTCTGCAGTGCCTGGAGCCCTGCACTGTTCACGCTCCTGTTATCAATATACTGGCTGTCAGGGCTAAAGCGGCTTGAATAGTAATTGTTCTTCTCACTTTGGGAGAGTTGTTCATACTGCTCTTTATTTGCTGCAGGAACCACATGGAACCAAATGATGGGTGTACGCATGGCTTGGCGAAACATATGTTGTGCTCTGGGTTTGAGAAAGAATGGAAAATTAGCAAATTAAGACTGGCAGACTATGAGATATTATGAGCTTAATTAAGTATACTAATTAAGCAACGGGAACTGACAGACTTTGTTGAAAATGAAAAACAAAATTCTCATATCCCATTTACCAATCAACTTTGCAAGCTCTGTATAAGAGCATAGCTGTTTCTCCAAATATAAATTTCTCACTCTCTACATATAAATGATAAAATTTTCACAACTATAGGTGAAATACCATGCTCTCAACTGTAAACCATTAAATAGTTTTAAGCACAACACAGGTATTAGTTTCAATACTAATAGAAATTAAATACAACTTGTTCACTACAACATTATCCAATACCACTTTTAAAAATTATAAAATATTTCCTTACAAGTGGACCATCTGAGTTTTCGAAGAAATAAATATACTTATAAATATACTTAGAAAACAACAGAAAGCACCTACTCATAATTTACCAGTTTAAGCACAACACAGGTATTAGTTTCAATAGTAATAGAAATTAAATACAACTTGTTCACTACAACATTATCCAATACCACTTTTAAAAATTATAAAATATTTCCTTACAAGTGGACCATCTGAGTGTTTTCGAAAATAAATATACTTATAAATATACTTAGAAAACAACAGAAAGCACCTACTCATCATTTACCAGCAAAATTAATTCGTCTGTCTGTGCAAAAATCCCAAGAACACCCATGTGCCCTTGATGACTGAAAATGTGATGGGTTGTTGGCCCACTGCTAGTCCACGACCAGCCTGAGAAGTTCCGCCTCATGCTGGTTTCCTAGTCCTTATGATTTCTGCTCACTCTTGCCTTGTTTTATAAGATCCGAACAACTTTTAGCTTTTTAATTGAGTAAGGACCTGAATCAAGGTAAAGAAAACGTGAGCAGACCACAGCATTGTGGTTCAAAGGAGCTTTGCGAGATTTGTACTGAGAGATATCATGTGCAACAAAGTTGGAAATGTGAGTTAAAGTATAACACAAACCAGCACCCTGGTGAAATTTCCAAAAGGTGAGGAAATAGCAAAATCGTAAAGCCTAAACTGGGCCCATAAAATTTTAAGACATGCTCTACCAGTCAGAGGTCAATTTGAAATACAGTCTAATGGTAGTAATTACATGGAGTTTGATTAAATATTTAAAGGCTAAATAATGGCAGAAAACACTCCTCTTCAGTATAAAGAGAGAGATCACAGACGTGTTGTGGGAAGCATTTCAACTGACTGCACTCTATCGAGCCGAAAGCATGGAAGCACAGCAGTGCAACCAGCACACACTTACTGTTCAAATCTTCTGTTTCGAAGGTCGCCATCATTAATCCTGACAATGCAATCATTTTCATGAAAAAGGTTTTCTTGTTCAGCTTTACCACCTTTCTCCAATCGTTTTACTAATAACCCCAGGGTTCTGGAACATTAAGAATGCAAATCATTACACATGTAATATTTCCACCACACGCAATGCCCTACTGCTTTAACACTGGTATTACATTTACAAAGACTTCCTAATAAAGGGGTACATTAAGTTGCTATTTATACATTTTAAAATAACACCACATAAAAATCAAAACAGTTAAAAATGATGTGTAGAAATGGATCCTTTCAAAAAATAGAAGAAATTGTTTCTGGCTTGTCAGTATTCTGTTTCTGAAACAAACCGTATACTTCTCTCTATGCTTAAAACTGCTTCAAACAGAGCTCGCCTGGCGGTTCAGTGGATATCACAGTGCGGAGCATGGATGAGCATGGATGAGTCTTTATGAATAGCTCTGGCAGTTTTGTTTTCAGCCAGCTGGAACACTGCTATTGGCAAGCCCCATCTTTTCATGAAAGTCAAGGTAAGGAGGAAAGGCTACTTCAGTGCATTGTACATTTGAGAAGCAAAATAGGAAAGACTTTGAAAATGGAAGTGTCCATTCTTGGCATGTGAATTTGATAGTGACAAATATTCTAAATTTCAAGACTTGTTAGATCTCCCCAAAGTAAGTAACTTGTTGCCATTATTCCCATTTGAAGAAAAATAGGAGAAAATCAGTGACAGGTTCAAATAATGCCAGTCACCATCCATCTCTTCAATGTACTCAAATTCAGGTTGAAAGAAAAGCCTGAATGAACTTTTAGAGATCAACAGGGAGGAGAAAAAGTAAAAATTACTTGTGTACTTGGTCTAGAACACTATTCGACTGACAGGAAGGATACTCTACACCCCCCAGGACAAATAGCAAACACTCTATACGATCATAGTATAAGGAATAGGAATCTTTACCTAGTTCTAGTGCTGTGATTTAGTTAATGGTTGACATAAGTTCTATATCATAATGTTAAAACTTTTATAAACTTATTTTTGACCTGTCTATAGTTTGCATTTTCTTTCATAATCCTAATATTTTCAGGAAAAAAAAAATCTATATAGATACTATAATTTAGAATCTTGAATAAAGTTGAAGATACAATAATTTCTAATGGCCTATTTATATTTTCCAATAGCATACAATTTGCAGTACCATATATATGCTTTCCAGTAAACAGACACCCAAATAGTTTCTTCTTTGACAGTAATTGTTATCTGTTCTGTGGCCATTTACCTAACTCTCCTGTTACTATTACTGACAGACACACCTTATCTCTACCATTGTATTGTAAGCTCCTGGAAGATAGAGAAGATGGGATTCAGCAATACATGCTCAAGCACTTAGCTAGTAGTAAGGTCTTGATAAATGACAACTGAATGAATGGATGATTGAGTTTAGCTGAGGCAAACAAGTCTCATATTTCAAATAAGCTTTTTGCAAAATAGAATACAAGTGAAATGCAATTTAGATTCAGATCCTTTTTTTCATAAAGGTGTCATCTATGCCAAATATATGATTGAACTGAAATAAATTGAATTGAGGCAAAGGTCCTTTTTCACTTGTTATTCTGCAGTTTAATCTTGTTTCTTTCATGAATATTTATAGAGTCATCGTTTAACTTCATTCTAATTTTTATTATTAAATATAGCAGAGAGACATTGCGTTTTACTGGGGTCAAGTCTAGCAGCTTGCAAGAATAATAAGAGGAGATAATATTTAAATTGCCTTTTGTAATTTTACCATTTGAGGATTAGCATCTACTAGTGTAAGAGTCGAAAAATCTTAGTGACTGAAGAAAACAATACTATGTAATTTTTAGTTACTTACCACCATATATTTGAACTAAATAAATATAAACACTCTATGAGCTCAAAGGTAAGAATAAAGTATACTGAGGTAGCTGTATGAGCAACTTAACTGTCTTAGTTTATATTTGGAAGGAAGAGAATCCATAATATGCCACACCAATAATTAAATTATTGTTAAAATGTCATTATGACCACAATCTATCTCCCTATGCTTCCCCACTGTTTAAGTTCGTTTCTATGTGCGATTGAACAAAGTATTCTAGAAGAGAAATTAAATTATTAAGATATATTTATGACTGTTGAATGGGACAAAATAATTTGAGAAGTCAAATTAAATCGCAGTTATTGATAATACTGGAACAAGTAAAAGACATTGGGCCACTTTACTATCAAAGCATCCATGCAAAGAACAGCTTAAAGGAAAAGATGACTCAGCCATCCACAGGCAGTCATAACATAACCACACATGTGGTGCTTCTACTGGGAGAGGGCACTTTTTAAAAGTGCAAGCATTCAGTACCTGCAATAAAAGTACATCCTATCAAAAGTCACTCAGTTCCTTAGTTTTTAATCAATGAAATTATGAGTGATTACTCAACATATTTACGACATTTCTGTACCCTAAAGGGAGTAATATTTTTACATATTCTGAAGTATTTTGTGTATTCTAAAATAGCCCACAGAATATTTTTAGAGAACTATATAGAGTATGTTTAATAGAAATTAGCAGTTAACTAATACTGATAATTTAAATTTACAAATTTATCCCTGATAGATCCTTTCAGTATTTATGACAGTTTAAAATAATATAACTTGGACATCTGTCATTTAATTCTACAAGTGGCATCAATATTTTTCAGATGAATAAGTCTATGTATTTATATTCATCTAGATAATCATTTTTCTTTTTAAATTTACTTTTTATTCTAGGAATCAGTCTAGAATGATAATCCAAAGTGAGAAAGCATGACGTGCTTCATTTATTGAATGGCTTGTCTTTCTGAATAAGCCC